TTATACAATATATATATATATATATATATATATATGACCTATTTTTGTTTTATTGCTCGTCATTCACAAAAAAGAAAGGAAAGAAAGCGGCTTTGAATATCTTTGATGCTTTCGTGTAATTTGTTTGTTTTCGAATATTCACACAAAACTGCTCAAGGACCACGCGCTAACCCCAATTTTGAATGATAGAATAGAGGGAAGGAAGCTGTTCTACAGAGAGGAAGAGACCTAAATCCCGATCCGGAGAGAGAGAGAACTGTTCTACAGCATCTATCGCCAATTCTTGGGCTAATCTTGTTTACTTGTTCGTTGTTAAGCGCAAAGCTACACAATGGGCTATCCGTGCTATACCCACCACGGCTATCGAAACCTGATGTTTAGAGTTATAAGCCTTCTGACTTACCGCTGAAAATACTGGACGGGACTGCTCTTGTCTGACCGAACAGTGAAATTTGACTGTCACTATTATAACGCATCCACGACCCCAAAGTCCGGAACACGATCTTTTTTATGCTTTATAGGGACGTGAAGGATGGACTCATAGATCCATAGTCCAGCACTGGGACATGTTCGGTCCCACTTACATAGAAAAAAGTAAAGTCGATTTCCGTTCCAACCATAATAACCCGAGAGAAAAACAAAAATACTTTTTTATGACGTCATTTGATAAAAATTTCAACAACGCATCAAATTGTAGAAGTAAATCAAATGTTTGTTTGTAGTTAAGTAAAAAGCTACACAATGGGCCACCTGTGCTCTGGCAGTCACGAGTATCGAAACCTAGTTTCTAGCGTTGTAAGTCCGCAGACATGTTGCGGTGCCACTGGGGGGCATAAATAAAAAACACACAAAAAGTGGAAAATAAAACTAACCATTTTCATTATTCAGTGTTTTGGGGATACATTTTATAAATAGCATAATGCATCTCATCTTGTAAGAACTTTTTAAACACCAAGGGTCGTAATCATAACCGTAAAGCGAGAAAATAATTAAAACGGTGATTAATTTAAACCGTGAACTTATATATTCATTTAATAAAATTAGCTTATTAAATTGTAATTATACACACATGAATTGATTTCCAACAGTCTCGCTCCCTGGGTTTGAGGACTTGCAACGCTAAGAATCGGATTTCGATAAACGTGGTGAGCAAAGCACAAATATTTCATTCTGTAGTTTTTCGTTTATCAAGAAAACAAAAGCAAAAGTCACAACTGAAATAAATTGTGGTTGTTAACTTGTCCTTGATATGTGTATTGAAGATTCGTTTTAAGGACAAAAGTTATTATTAGCTATTGGTTGCTAAATGTGCTATTTAAGTTTTATCTATTTTTATTTATGTTTCTTATTTTAATTGTTAATTCCACCGAAAGGGGACCACAGGCCGCCTGGAGGGGTCACCTGTTTTAACCAATCGCACCACTATACAGTAGTATGTTGTCTGTCTGTCAGCCAGTCAGTAGTCACCAAATTAACGTAACATAAGGGACGCTTAACGTTGCAATCTGTACTGTCGTGACGTCAGTAAAACGTGCGCATGCCGTGAATCCCGAGAAGAATTATGCACTCTGTAAGCTACAACATAACATGACATATGAACTTCAAAAGCAAGAAATAAAAATATTTGTTACTCTTAATTTTGGTTTTATTTAATATAGAAACAGGGCACTTTCGGGGACCCTGCGGAAGTACATTTAGTCTTTAACGTTTAAATAATTTCCAAACACTTAAACCCAAACAACGAACGCTGCCCGCCTATGCTTACTCCATCTCTGAAGGTTTATATGAAATTTGATGAAAACAAAAATTATTAAAAGAGAAGTATTTGTTCATGAAACTATCACGAGTGGGAGGTAGAAGTAGAAGCAACCTTGACGGTAGCCACATCCTTGGAATACCAGGAAAAGTTCACTCACACTCTTTGAAAGCGCAGCCAAGTCAGATTCGACTTGGGCATGGTCTAATGATTGTTGTATTTACCAGGAGCTGCCTACCGCTTTAATTATGGCTGGCAGCCATGATCTTAGGTGTAAAATCGTGACTATGTTACCATACCTGTTCTAATGACAGTCATTGTTGCTCACAATATTTGTCGTATCACGCTATAGAAACGTTAATTGTGTTGCATAGCTATAAATTACCATCCGGAAGTTATTACGTAACAAGTTGACCTGTGAAAATCCCTGTCGTTTTAGCTTCCTTATTTATCGTTGTGTATACTACAGTACAAGTTATAGCAGTTATTATCAAAGCTTTAACAATCATTTAAAGCTATCAATATTTATTTTTTATTTGCTGTAAAATTCAATTTTTTTCCCTAGAAGTGTTAGGTATGTCTTCCGTCTTACACAGGTGTATTAATGAAATAAAACCAACGTGTAACAGTACACAATAAATAGTTACAAATGAGACTGTCCTAAGTCTTACAATACAAGGAGAAAAATGTTGTACTTAATTATTTTACTATATAAGGATAAAATATATTACTGTGAGACTGGGATCAGTTTCATACACTGTACGTGTCGTTTGTTTGTGATTAAGCACAAATTAAGCTGTGCCACTGGAGGGCCACTTTATATCAAACGTTCAAAACATGTAGAGTGTACATTATTTTATTTTATCGGTATACAATTAGTAAGTAACACAATTTTATATTGTATTTTGAGACAGGGGCAGTCTCATTTTTAAATATTTTGTTTCTTTAATACTTTGCGTGTATTAAAGAGTCGTCCTAATCTTAATATATCTTTCGTCTGACTGCACTGTTTTTTTCAGATATTAAAGTTACAATCTCGTTCTTCTGGTTTTATTTCAGTATGTTAGGTACGACACCCTTGTACGCCACTGTCCCAATGCCTGCTTGTACTATGAAGATTTTCCAAGACGTTGCTGATGAAGAATTTGTTGCTGAGAACGTTAAGATTGGTGACCGTCTCACTATAGTTATTAAGATTGATGTTCAAGGTGAGCGGAGAAGCATCATAAATATATATATAGATTTAGGTATATATATTTCTGTGTGTTGAAACATATTATTTAATGTCCACAGCTCAGGTCGCTGGAAAAGAAGAGTTCTTGTCATAGTAACGTGTTAGTGGTAGACAGTATTATTAAAGGTCAAACAGATGCACGTTTATAGTAACATTCCCAGGTAAAAAGTAACCTCTAAGTATCGCAGTAACGGGATGATCGAAAACACTTGTTTACAGGAGAATAAAATTAATCACGGACAGCAAAGAAAGGTGGAAACAAAAGTGAACAAATCTATATATTTATTTGACACTTAACAACAGATGTATGAAACTTAGCTGGTTTAATCAATCTGGTTACAGGATCTAGATCAAGAGAAACATGTCTGCACAAGACAGGACAAAAAAAATAGTGACTGGACTAGAGACTAGAGGATTGTGCCTGTACTACACTGTTAATTCAGACCAGTGTCCTAGTGTGTAATTTTATAGTGCTTGATTTCCAACGTTTGCGATAATTTTTTATTTCACCGTCAACCCATACTGAGCTTTACAAACCTTTGTAGAACCAGGTTTTCACTTTGGTGTGATCCACGCCTCATGGGAGTGTTTGAAAAGCAACTTGGCCAGGTCAGCGCTCTTTAATAAACACTCTAGTATATAATCTTAACTCGAGGCCATGATTGGAACGAGCTCACAGTTAATGTCATCTTCTCACATTAATTTTATACAAAGATTTACGTGAATATGACCGAATAAAGATATAGTTATAAAAAGGTAAACAATAACATGTTACTTAGAGCTAGCATTAAAAACTGGATGGCAGCTGCACTGCTATAGTAGCATGTTACAGAGAGCTAACGTTACAAACAAGCGGGCAGTTGTACTGCTATTTTAGCATGTTACTGGTAGCTAGCATTAAAAATGAGCGGGCATCTTCGTAGCTATAGCAACATGCTACTGAGAGCTAATATTAAAAAGGAGCGGGCAGCTGTAGTAGCATATTAATGGGAACTAATGTTACAAATGAGCTGACAGTTGCACTAATATACTAACATATTATAGAGAGTTAGTGTTACCAAATGGTAGACAGACGTATAATGAATATATCTATGGGGTTTTGAGTCCGAAACTGCAGTCCACAGCAGAGGGTACGACCAATCAAAGAATGCATTAGGCCTCTACGTCACAGATTCTATTTTCAATTTCACCTCTGGTGAAAAAAGAAGAGAAATCTTTAACATGTACATACTGAAAGTGTTCCAAAAATTAATACAAAATTACTTATCATTTATCAAATTATATTAATCTGAATACTAGAAATACAAATTGCTTTTACAGTTAAATATAAATTTATGTTTCAAAGAAATTATGGAAAGTAGAGTATTTGTGTGTGTGTGGTTTCGGCTTTCAGAGATGTAGACGATAAGAATCGTCGGCTGCTGGTATTTGTGATAAATACTCTCTTTCATTAATAGAGTCAAATACACACTTGAAAGTTCTTCAAAGTTGTATTGCTTCAATCTCTGAACATGCCTACTTTTTTTTTGCAGATATTTATGGCATGAAGGTAACAAACTGCTTGGTTCGTGATGGGTTGAACTGGGGAGAACAGCCGTTAATCAATAATGATGGGTAAAGTATCTGAAGATTTGACTAGGATTTATCGCACTCCTACTAACTTTATGTTCATATATTGGTGTCCATTGGATTTTCAATTTAAGTGCTGTAATCAATGAATTCTATAATGATTCAGTTCTTTAAATTATTATATTTATATTTGGCTTGGACTTTCTGTAATATAAAAATCCTTCTCACTGAGTTTCTTTACGTTCACTCTTAGGAAGATAGAAAGCAACAAATACACAGTACTGTATTTAAGAATTGTAAATTGAGACCGAAAATGTGTGCGAAAGTTAGGAGTAAACTAAAATATAAATTTGCCTTATCGCAATTAACATTTTACGATTCACAGAATTCGTGATCACCTACAAAAGTTACTCCAAGTTTCTGAAGAATCGGAAACTATGTGTTAGTCTTAGCTCATTGGAGAAAAGAACTTTGACTCGTAATATTGTACAATAATTTGTGGGTGTCACTTGCAGCACCAATTAATGGGTCCTGCTGGTACAACAGAAACAAATTAATTCGTGATTTACAAGGCTGTAAATATTTATAAACTTTACATAGATTACAGTGGAACACAATAGAAAAGGCAGTTGTTGTTTGTTATTAAGATCAAAGCTACACAAAGAAAAGGCAGAAGTTGGTCAAAATTTGTATGTGCTTTAATGGTACAATATTTTCTAACTTTTCTTAAGCGTCCTGAAAAGCAAGCTGTAGTATATAGTTTTGTACTGTATATTCTTTCAGATGCCCAGTGGACAACGAGATAATGGGACCTTTTCAGTACACCCAGAATAAGACTCGAGCAGTAGTGACGTTTCAAGCGCATAAATTCCCCTACACGTCTTCTGTCTATTATCAATGTAATGTCAAACTATGTCTGAAAAAGGACGGAGGTTGTGATGACGTGGTAAGTATCAACTGGCGTGGTGTTTTTAACAAATTGAGAAGTAGGTTACTTTAGTCACCACAGTGCATATGTTTTTAGGAAGTTCGTATAAGTATGAAGCTTTAGTCACCACAGTGCATATGTTTTTAGGAAGTTCGTATAAGTATGAAGCTTTAGTCACCACAGTGCATATGTTTTTAGGAAGATCGTATAAGTATGAAGGTTCTAGCAGCGAATTAAAAAAAATTGTGGAATATTTCTGCGTTGTCCGATGCTTCTCAATGCTTCTCGAAGATTTTGAACATTTGTGAAATATAAATCAAGCTTTTATGTTGTTGCATTCGTTACCTCGTAATTCTTACCAAACAGGCCGTTTTAACAATAATCTTACACTATGCACCTCTAAGCTTATTATAACTGACTGATCTATCAGGCAAACTTCCATTACATAATTCATAATCAAAGTCTGAATATGTCTTAACCTAAACTCAGAAAGGCCATTATAAGGTTGTCATAGAGCTGAAAGTGCATTATTTATTAAACTGAAGCTGTTGGAAACACGCAAACTATTTGCTTTACAAGTTCAGGTGAATCTTCAATAAACAAGTACGAACTAATTGATTCATTTTTGTTATTTACGATTTGAATTCCACCAGTTCCTCAGTGACGTTGAACTTAATGACATATGTATGCATAAGAAGACACAAGTCTAGTGAATTGGCTTAATATTTCAGAGCAAAGCTAAACAGTAAGCTATCTGCACTTTTTATCACGTGGAATCGAACCGCGGCTTTTAGCACTGTAAATACGGAAACTTTCTGAGAACAAAACGTAGAAGGTTTTAAAACAGTGCTTTACAAATATCGTATTAAAAACAACATGTATTTGCATTATATTTCACGTGTCTAAATCCAATTGTTCTCTAGTTCTTTCTTGTCATTTTCAGCCTCCACAGTGTGACAACAGTGGCCGAAACTTGTTAAGACGGAGGAGGAAAAGAGAGAGTGAAGTGGAAGAAAAAGGTGACCTTAAAGACTTGCGCCAGGAAGAGCAGGATGTGCGAGATCTTAGTGTTGAGGTCTTTTCTGGTCTGCATGTCAATGAAGTGGACAAGGTGGACAATGATGATGATGGTTAGTTAACATTCACATACTATAAAAATATTTCACTAAAGCGACTCCGTCTATACTTAATTGCGAGCATAACAGTATTTATATAATCTGATGATTATCTATATATATTTAGGAAAAAAGGGGGCTCATTAGGAATGGCACTTTCACCATCGTAGCTAGTAGGCATTGTTTTGATATTTATACACTGGATAAAATAAGATTGGGGTTAACATAAATTTACTGTACTCTTAAAACCATAATATACGTTGAACACGGAAGTGCTCCACAGTAGACCCCATAACATGTCACAGCTGTAAGTTCGAGAGTGTCTGGAGAGGCATCGCGTCTCAGGAACATATATACATATATAAAGAAATTAGTAATCATAGTGTTTATGTCCAGTTGTACAGTAAATATTTCTTCTCCAAGAGGACAACGCAGCTCTTAAACGTTCCATACCCTCTGTGAGTATCTCATTGAAAATTGTGGAAAATGTTACTCCATTCCCTCATTAACGTCTTTGTCACATTATCCATTGTATCTGATAAATAAAGAAGCCGTTCCATTAACTCTTCTCATTCTTGATCCCAAACATTCAACTACTCTGAACACAGAACCGGAAAAAAAATTGAAAATTGTGGAAAATGTTTCCCCATTCCCTCATTAACGTCTTTGTCACATTATCCATTGTATCTGATAAATAAAGTAGCCGTTCCATTAACTCTTCTCCTTCTTGATCCCAAACATTCAACTACTCTGAACACAGAACCGGAAAAAACATTGAAAATTGTGGAAAATGTTTCCCCATCCCCTCATTAACGTCTTTGTCAGATTATCCATTGTATCTGATAAATAAAGAAGCCGTTCCATTAACTCTTCTCCTTCTTGATCCCAAACATTCAACTACTCTGAACACAGAACCGGAAAAACGGATTAAGACCCATTCAGTTTTTGTTTGGCAACGATGTTCAACACATGGTACTGCATCACA